AGGAACTTCAGGGCTATTTTTAGGAACAAGGAACTCAGTAGGCCACAAATTAGGAACAATCATTTAAACCTATGCAAAGAGCAGACATGGTGTACCACTAAGCTAAACCGTCTCGGCACATTTGTGCTTTTAACGTATACTTGAAGTACGCGGAGGACTAAAGCTAATTTTTCAATAGCCTCCAAGTTCATTAATTATGGTTTAGTTTTCCTTGTCATGTTGGCATGAGAACGCCGTTTCTTTCGAAAGATACCCAAGTCTCATCTTACGCTTTTTGACCGGGGTTCCCATTCTCTTTTTTGAAAAGTAAGAGGTCTAGCTATATTAATTTTTCAATTTTCAGATTTTTACTAGACATTACCCCATTCTAATCTCAGCCTCACCAAGGAAAATTAGCAATTAAAGTTCAATTATTCAAGGTGAATCCATGCCTACAATGCAATCCTCGAAAATATCAAATTCCTAAAAAGTGACTGCTCTTACCCTATTTGGGGCATAGGAACAGTGCCAAAAATGGCTCATACACAAATTCCCTAAACTTAGCAAATTAATCCCTTAATTCCCTAAACATCAAGACTAAGTCAGAAATACTCACGGGTAAAGAAAACAGGCCATTTGGCTATGGAGCTTAATTAATTGGGTAACAAAGAATGATCAGGCTCAAAATGGCTTCTCCTAAAGGATTTTTCAGGTGGGGTGGATGATTAATGGATTAATTCAATGGGTGACTAATGCCTTCATCCTTTCAACAACTAGATTATAGTGCAAGCAATTTAAGCCTAAACACTTCAAAGATGTTCTAAAAACATAGTCAAAACGCTAGCCAGCCCACAAAGACACAGTTTAAAGAAAAGTTTTCAAAAATTTTGCATGAATTTCCTATGAATATACAACCAACACCTGCGCATGCTAGCTCTAACAAATCACATGTGACAACTACTGCCCGAATGCCCAATTCACTCCCCCACACTTAAACTTTGGCATCGCCCTCGATGACCAAAAATGCATTATGTACTAGGGGTAAAGAGGAAAGGGTCACGCGTGCTCAAAAAAATAACTCAAGTTAACATTACGCATCGAGTTCAAAGAATCATGGAAACTCCCCTGTCGCGTTGGTCGGTCAGGAACAAAACTGGGTCTTGATTCGCACGGCACATCAGTCATTTAAGCTGCAACACATCATGAACACAAAGCATAGCAAAATATAAAGAGTTAAGTGCAGTAGTGAGAGTGTGAGTGTGATAGTGTTTACGGTACAGTCATCCAACAATATCATGATACAAATGCTAGCGGCAGACAGTCTAATGAAATCTAATACTCGGGAGGGGGTGGCGGTGGATATGCATCAAAGAACGAGCTCCAGCTAGTCTCCATAGAAGTGAGTCTCTCATCAATCTGAGTGTACTGAGACTGGAGCTGTGTGTAATGAAGTGCCTGGTCCTCCCTCATCTCTCTGTAGAAGTCCTGCTGCTCGAAGCGCATCTGATCAAATCTCTCATGCTGCTCAGCGGACAACTGCCGATACACGGCATCCTGATGCGCATGCATCCCCGCCCAAGAATCAGGAAAAGCTGTGCCATAGGGGGGTGCATCGTATGGGGTCTCGTGAGCAGCTGCCTCCATCTCCACATCATCATCATCGTCATCATGGTCATCATCATCAGCATCATCATCTACCTGCTGTCCTCCTCCTGCTGCTGCTGCGCGGTCAGCCTCCCGCTGAAGTCTAGCCCCAAGTCCGGTATTCATGGACGGAAGTATGGTGAGCGGAAGAAAACTAGAAGAAACCTCCATGTTTCGGAACTGATCTCCATAGTCCATCCCTCGCAGAAGACGTGTAATGTATGGACCGGAATATAGGGCCTGAATGTGGTTTGTGGATTGGCGATGGAAGAGGCTAGCAATGATAGAGCCCATGCAGGGCTTCCTGTCATGAACCATGCAGTAGAGGCATAATAAGTCAGTGGTAGAAACCTTGGCCCCAACCTCGGCCCTCCCGGTCACTGTAGAAGCAAGTAGTGCGTGGATAACTCGGAACTTCCGGGGATAAAGAAGTGTGGCTGGGGTCTCTCGGGGCTTGTAAGTCTTGCCCCCTCTACTAATCGATTCCCAAAAGGCCTGTCTGTTCACATGCGGGGGGAAGTCACAAAGGCCAATCTCGTCTCGTTGTCCTACCTCAACATCATCAAAACCCAAAAAGCGCTCAATCTGACTAAGCGAAGTATCCAGCTTGTCTTCAAAGGCTTGGAACCTTATTCCCCTTTTTTGATAGTCCCTCTCCGGTATGAGCTTTGGGAGCTCAATTGTGGCTAACACCTCACACGTGACTTCCTTGAAAGTCGGCTCTTGGATGCCGAAAAATAAATGCTGCCACCAACCTCTCCTGATCAAGTGCATCACCTCATCCCTCAGTGTGGGCTCCGCTGCCATCAGTGTGGGCTCATCTGGGTGGTACATCGTACCCACCTTCTTCTTCATCAGCTCTAGGTATGTCAGCATCTCCTTTTCTGTGTCAAACTGGGGCTGGTAGCGGCCGCCTCGTGTGCCCTGTGAGCGGCTAGAGCTAGCAACTGCGGTGTGAGAAGCGCGTGTGGAGTTCTTTGTGCGAGCCATCTGCAAAAATAGTGAAAACAAAAGAATTCCAACGGGGCTTCAAGAGGTTAGAATTAGGCACAGAAAAGAATAGCCCCGTCAGCAACAATGATCCGCCAACATCAAAATATGCCAAAAGAAAACCCAAGTTTAACCAGAATAGTTGAACCAGAATAGTTGAAAAGTTTGAATTTTTATCAAAGAAAGGTTCTTTGAATAAAATTCAAGTTTTCAACGACACACGGTATAAACAAGGTCACAAGCAAGCTTCATTCATCCCAACAATGTTTTCAGAATAGAGTTCTTCCCAAAAGAATTAAAAAATCAAAATAGGGAAAAACTCACAATTCTCAAATTAGACAGAATTTGGCCCAAAAATTGGGGATTTGTGCTCAAATAGCCTTAACAACAATTACACATTATCTCAATCAACAGTTCAATCTTAATTTAAGCAACAAGCACAAAATCCCCAAATTTTCAAACATTCATCAAAATTAACCCTAAATTGGCAAAATTAGCTCAAAAATTAGGGATTTCAATCAAAAGAGGCAAATTCATCAACAAAAAAAACATCAATAGTAACAACACAAGCCTCAATTGATACATGGAAATCAAAATCCCTAACATTCAAGCACATGCAATTTTCGGATTTTACAAAGCTTGAAATTCCTCCATTAATGGTGAAAGAAGAAGAGAGAAGAAGAAGGTACCTGGATTGAAGAGAGAGGGGAGAGGAAGGGGCTCGGTCGGAGTAGTGGCGGTCGCCGGTGCTGCGGTGGTGAGTGGTGGTGAGCGGTGGTGAGCGGGTTCGTCGTTGGCTCGTGGCGTCTTCGAGGAAGAGGAATCGAGGGGAAGGGGGTCGGTTTGGGTCGCGTAGGAAAGAAGGAGAACAGGGCTGGGTTTAGGTGTTTTAAGTCGCGGGTTATTTTTGTAAAATCGATCAGGCACGGCGTGCCTAACGTCCAGGCACGACCGTGCCTGGCTCCCAGTAGCCATGTTTCGCGATATAAGCCAGGCACGGCGTGCCTAGCTGCCAGGCACGACCGTGCCTGGCTCCCAGTAGCCTATTCCTCGTTTTTTCCTTTCAGGCACGGCGTGCCTGAAGGTAGGCACGACCGTGCCTGCCTCGAATTTTTTTTTTTTTTTTGTGGTTTTTGTGGGTTTTTTTGAAAAGCAGTAAAACTAAACTAACAAAGCACAAATTAAGCTCGGGTTGCCTCCCGAGAAGCGCTATTTTTAACGTCGTTTGCCCGACGCAACTACGCACTCAAAAACTCAGTCAAAAACACTTCCGCTCAGAAAATTTGTCTTCCACAAATCAAACCTCTTATCAACAAATGCCCCGAGATGGCGTAAGACCTTAAATTCATGAAAACAATTACGCATCTCAGGGTTACCCGTAAAGCAACAGAATGGATCGTGGCCTTTATCCGGCCATTTAGCGAAGAATGGTTTAACGAATGGGCAATTCTCTTCCTTGTCAAAAATCTTCCGGGCTAGAGCTTCCCCTTGTTCACTAAGTAAATTAAACCATGTAAAATTTTGGGATGGCTCAAGCTCGGGTGAAAAAATGACAGGGGGGTCAGGATTATTATCAATAAAATCATACTCATTTAAATCACCTCGCGTCTCTCGCTCAGAACTAGCATCACTTGAATCCTCCCCTCCACTTATCATAAGACAATCAAAGCTAGGGAGGGGCTCAAGATCCTCTGCTGAAATACTCTCTTCCAACAAAATATCAAACGGGGCTTCCTTGGAAAGCATGTTAGGTATGCAATCCTCCACCATAGAATCAATATCATCCACATAAAAACACTCTCCACTGTCCTGACAGGGCCTCTTCATTATTTTGGACATATCAAAGGTGGCAGTCTCATCCCCAACACGGAGGACAAGCTTACCGTCTCCAACATCAATAAGCGCTCGGGCAGTTGCCAAGAATGGTCTGCCCAAAATTAAAGGTACCTCACGATCCTGATTCATGTCCAAAATAACGAAGCCTACAGGAATAATAAACTTGTCCACTTTAACCAACACGTCTTCAATAATACCTTTAGGATATTTGACTGAACGGTCAGCCAACTGAATACACATACGCGTTGGTTTAAGTGGACCGAGTGCAAGCTTCTCATACAAGGAATATGGCATCAAATTAATGCTTGCACCCAAATCAGCTAAGGCCCTATCAAAAGTAAGATCTCCTATTAAACAAGGTATAGTGAAAGAACCTGGATCCTTAAGCTTCTCTGGTAGATCCCTTCTAATCACTGCTGAACAGTCCACGTTAAGCCTTACCGTTGACGCGTCTTCCAACTTCCTTTTGTTAGTGAGTAAATCCTTCATGAACTTGGCGTACTTCGGCATCTGTGCTAGTGCATCCACGAATGGAATGTTGAGCTGGACTTGTTTCATGAGTTTCAGAAAATGACCAAACTGGTGACTATCATTCTTCCTAGTCAATCGCGCCGGATAGGGGAGAGGAGGGGTGTAATTTTTGATGGGAACGGGCTGTTTTGGTGCAACTGCCACCTCTCTCTCCTCTTCCTTCTCTTTTTCTTCCTCCCGGGCAGCAGGTACATCTTTAACTTCCTCGGACTTCTTTGCCGTGGCAGCAGGTTCTAATTCTTTTCCACTCCTTAAGGTGACTGCATGAACATGTTCTCTTGGGTTTGGCTCGGTATTGCTAGGGAGGGATCCCAGAGGCCTCTCAGACAAAGCCCTTGAGATCTGCCCCAATTGAGTCTCCATGTTCTGCATCCTTGAGTCAGCCTGCTGCATCCTCAAATCTGCTTGTTGTTGAGATTGCATTTGTTGCTGCTGAATTTGCAGCAACTTCTTGAGTGTTTCCTCTATGCCAGAAAATCTTTGTTCTGTTTCTCTCTTAAAACTCTCTTGCACTGACTGAGATGCTTGATGTTGATTATAGTTCCTAGATTGCTTCTGAATTCCTTGCCCGTAATTTCCTTGCTGCTGCTGTCCGTAGGGCTGATTTTGGTAGCCCTGTCGCTGGTAATACATTGCGTCAACTTGCTCTACTCCAGGGGCTGCCAAGTGTGTCATCATAGTGCATTCATGAGGCGAATGGAGACCCCCACAAATGGTACAAGAGGGACTAATAGGACCGGGGGCTACCATATTAACACTAGGCACCGATAGAGCAAGATTCGTTTTCTTTTGATTATCCTCCACACTGGTAGCAAGCTTCTGAATCATGCTAGTCAAAGCATCTACCCTCGCAGAAAGGGCAGAATTATCACTGATCTCGTACAAGCCCGGGGCCTTCTGGTGAGGTGTGTCCCGAGAGCCATACCATGAAGCATTATTAGAAACTATCTTCTCCACTAGTTCTTCTGCTACCTCAGATGGCAACTGAGGAAAAGCTCCTCCACCCGAAGCATCAAGCATCATCTTCCCTTCATCGCTGATTCCGCTGTAGAAACAAGATAGAATCTCACTATCAGTCATCTTGCCTTGAGGGCAAGCTCTTCTTAGCACTTTGAATCTCTTCCATGCCTCAGCCAATGTCTCCAAAGAACCTTGCTTGAAATCCTGCAGCTGCCTCTTCAACTTTATTGCCTTTGATGTCGGAAAATACTCCTTGATGAAGGACTTGTGCAACTGATCCCATGTCTGAATATGGTGATGTGGGTTGCTATCCAACCACCTCTGCGCATCGTCCCTCAATGAGAAAGGGAATAAAAGCATCCGTACCTGATCATCATCTAGCCCGGGGATCTTAAAGGTTTGGCACATCCTCAAGAATTTTGTAATGTGTGCCACTGGATCTTCTGTAGGGCTCCCTCCAAACTGATTATTGGACACCATGTTGATCACCGCTGGGTTGATCTCATAGCGAGGTGCAGTAATTCCTTGCACTTGGATGCTGTCGTACTCTGTGATGTCCGGAGTGAGGAAATCTGCAATGGTCTCTCCTTGATAAAGCGGGTTGTTATGTGGGACATAGTTTTGATATGGAGGAGCTTGATATCTCGGCTGATGAACCGGTTGTGGTCTTATAGGATGTGGACGGGCTATGTTTGACTGTGCTTGGGGCTGAACTTGGGGCTGATGATATTGTTGAAATTGGGGTTGGAAGGGCTGATTTTGTGGCTGAGTAAGGGGTGGATTTTGTGTGACTGGCGGTTGGTTCTGTCTGGGCTGAAAGAGTGGATTATTTCGCCCAATACCTTGCATCCCGTATGTTTGATTTTGAAAAATGGTTTCGGGAGCAGTAGAGGTATTTTGGAAGAGTTGATAAAGCGGAGTCATGTTGATTTGGGACGTGGCCTGATTTTGAGGAAAAAGTGGTGTGCGGGAATTCTGAAATCCCGAGTAATTTCTAGGTGAAATAGGCGGTGAAGACTGGGGAGAGGTATTGACATAAAAATCAAGGTTACCAGAAGTGGTTTGGACCTCAGACGTCCCAGCAATTCCAGATGATGTAGGTTCCATGGTTGCGTTCTTCTCAAGAAAAACCTTGCGGTTCTGTCTAGCAAACTTCTCAATCTCAGGATTAAGAGGGACAAGTGATTCTCCCTTCTTTGAACGTGTATGCATAAACAGATCTGACCTGCAAGGTTAGCAGACAAAAATCCTACGAAATACTAAAAACAAGTCGCTAAAATTAATTAACCCTTAAATCCGACACCGTCCCCGGCAACGGCGCCAAAAACTGATGTGTGTTTTCTCGCACTTAAAAAGGATGTAGTAAAGTGGTTGAAAGTACGAGTATCGTCTCCACAGGGACGGACAAAAGGGAAATAAAGATTAATTAAACTTTAGCGATTAAAAAGAAATAAATAAAATAAAAGTGCAATTGTGCGAGATTGGTTGATTGATTGAAATAAAACTAATGCTAATGAGCGAATAAAAAGATTTGGTTTTCCTTAATTAACGACTAAGGGAACAGGAATTGATTCCGGGGTTAACCAGATTTCCGGCAGAACAGGCCTAATCACATGAATTTAATTTAATTGAGCCTAGCTAATCATTACTAAGTTCTTACTGCTCTCGCGGCGTAGAGTACAATAATTTAGGGGACCAGGCTGATCTCTCATGCGACAGGATCCTAAATTATTGCCAAGACGAGCGAGCTTACGGCCCCTTAATCGCTACTAATCTCTTAGCGAACGATTAAGTGTGTGTGAATGTGTCCTAGAACAAATTAGATCTCTCTTAATTCATTCTACATGCAATTGTAATTCTAGCTGCAGTCTAGGTTACAAGAGATATCAATTAAATTATTCAAACACAAATTAAACGACATTCATGCAATTAAACCGACAAGAATCTAGCCATCAATCATGATTAACCCCTTCATCAACCCCAAATCCCTAATTAAACTACTCACGCCTCATAATTGACGAATCAAAAGAATTGGGATGAATAGAAATAATTGTCATTAATTAAAGAATTGAACTTACAAAGAATCCCAGGTTCTTGGATTAAACAACGTAAAAACACAGGTAAAACTCGTCCCTAGGCCTCTCTCCAAAGTTCGTAACCCCCAAAACGGGGTATGGAGGCCTTATTTATAGAAAACAATGATTTCGGGTCGAATTAGGACAGATCGCGGCCAGGCACGGTGCCAGGCACGACCGTGCCTGCGACCGTGCCTACGGAAGAAGGCCGAATTTCGCGTCCAGGCACGGCGTGCCTAGCTGCCAGGCACGACCGTGCCTGGCCTCCAGTAGCTCCCAGGAATATTTCACTTCAGGCACGGCGTGCCTAACTCCAGGCACGACCGTGCCTGACCTTATTCTTCACTTTTTCTTCGTTTTCTCGCTCCAAACGCTCCCGGATGTCTACGAGGTCGATCCAAATGCTCTTTCTTCATCAGAATTTCGTCGTGAATCCCCCGATGACCTCCAAAATCTCTCAAATCTTCTTC